CCATGAGGGGAGGGGGTGGTGGTGCCGTGAAACCTTGTAAGTGTAGTGAGTGTTGGGATCACCTATCCTAGAGCCAAGTGCATAAAATTTATCATGAAAGTAAAAATATCGATCAAATTTTAAAATAGTTTGATTACTGTCTGCCCATTATGATTTTAGTGCAAGGGGGCCATGAGGGGAGGGGGTGGTGGTGCCGTGAAACCTTGTAAGTGTAGTGAGTGTTGGGATCACCTATCCTAGAGCCAAGTGCATAAAATTTATCATGAAAGTAAAAATATCGATCCAATTTTAAAATTAAATCATTTCTGAATTAAGCTATTTTCTGTTATATCACCAAAGTTGTTTATAAAAAACAAAGCTCTTTAATCAACAGAGACTCTAACTTAAGAAATCAACAAATATTTTTCCAGTTTTGTTGTCTGTACATTTCATTTTATACTTTCAGTACATAGACTAACAACAATATTAGGTTACACTTTTGTTGCTAAGCAACATGACATAAAAGCCATTATTGGAATGTAGTGTTACTGTCTTTTCTATATATTAGAAGTTGTTAATCTAACTTATTTTTGCCAATAATTATTCTATGAATGTGCCACAAATTCATTTCATGAATGATCTTAATTGGCTCACAAAGGAATTTACTGATGTTTGACTGCCTCTACTGCACTTTTCTGCCTCTTTATTGTTCAATCTTGATTTTGCAAATTTTATTTATTTCACTTAGCTATGAAATGTTAGGTTAGGGTATGCTATGGGGTGGTGGTGGTGGTACTTGCCTCATCATTTTTGACAGACTATATGCTAGTTTATTATAATATTTAGCTTAAGTCACAAATGTGAACCTTCTCATTACACCCAAGTCTCTGCACAAACCTCTCCTCCCAGTTGTTTGAGAACCAATGTTTTAAAAAATAAGTTTCAGTTTTCTGTTTTAACTTAAATAATATCATACAATTTGTGATGAAAAACGTTTTCATTAATAAATGGTAATTTCAAGACTTGTGTATAATTTGTCATTCATGTACATTGTGTTTCTAGACCTCACTGCTGTAAAGTTAAACTTGGAGATCTTTTGATTGATTATATTCCTGTGTAAAATAAAAGTTTACTTTTAATCTGTTGCATACTAATATATCCAGTTAGAGTTTTACTATCAAATATTCTTTTAAGCTCATCATGAGAATTAATATAAAAAACAAATCCAACAGATATTATGAGTTATTTTTATACATGATCTCATTATTTTTTAATGGTTATAATTTTTAAGTGTTTTTCTGACATCTTTCTGTGTAGTGCTACAAAAACCCAGTTGTCATTTGTTAATTCAAAGTAAAAATACCCTCCTAAGTGATTGAGGTTAGGTATAATTCCACAATAACCTCTTAATTCAGAATACCCTTTATGTAATTAATGTTTACACACTCAAGTAAAATTGAGCCCGTTATTTAGTTACATAGAAAATATTCAATGTTCATTTATTGATTAATAAAGGCAAAGATTTTGAGTGTTAGTGTGTTTTGTTTCTAAAATAAAAGTATTATTATTTAAATATTTTAAAATTATTTTTTTTGATGGAGCATGGAAGAGTGACTATGGAAACTTTTTACAGAAGACTAATGCAGGGTTAACAGTGAGGGTACCCAGCTAATGAGACAATGCATTCTAATCTTCATGAGTCGGGACATGAGAAGAGCATATTTAATTAGCTATACTCATTACCAGGTTGAATTCTTACTTTCACTGTATGTGTGCAGCTTGCTCTTATTGGAAGTTAATATTAATACAGGAAACATGTTTCTTTTTTCTTGTTTACATAAAAGCTTCTTACGGAAAGTTTTATTAAATTCCTAAATTCAAGCTCAAAACTTTGGATTAAAGATATTTCTCACAGGTAGTTATAGGATCTTCAGATAATCAAATGTTGGTCGAAATAAATGGAAAAAATAGCATGTAATAATTAAACTGACTATGGAACTGATACTTTTATAATAATGAGTGTTAAATTAAGAACATTTATCTGCATGGTTACAAAGTATTATTTTCCTATTAATTATTTAAAATATTTTATTCGTGTTAGCCTAAAAATACTTGTTTATTTTTTAAAAGGAAGAAAATTTTTAACACTTAAAGGCATAAGATGTGCTAAAACTGATTAAAGATTGTAAACTTTGTAAATTGCTGAAACAGTATATTTGCTACTTATGATGTAGTCTTGGCAGATCAAAGATCCAGCTTTTCTATGTTACAAGCACCAACTAATTCTAAATGAACAACATTAATCATATGGTAAAGTGCTTAACTATGTGCACAACTTCCAGTTCTTCTGCCACTGTTGTGCCTAGCATGGCCCGGTGATTAGTGTACCAGAGCTGAGGTTTCATGTCTCCCTTCTTTTTACTGACAAAAAAACAACAACAACAAAAGATGGTCCACACTTTAGTTATAAGAGTGGCAGTCAAGTCCTACTCTTTGGTCTGGAAAGAGTAGCCCAAGATTGTTGGTGGGTGGTGTTGACTAGCTGCCTTCCCTCTAGGCTCTCACTTCAAAATGAGGGATTACTTGTGCAGAGTTGATGGGTTGTGTTGTCTAGCTGCCTTCCCTCTTGTCTCTCACTTCAAAATGAGGGATGACTAGTGCAGAGTTGGTGGGTTGTGTTGTCTAGCTGCCTTCCCTCTAGTCTCTCACTTCAAAATGAGGGATGACTAGTGCAGAGTTGGTGGGTTGTGTTGTCTAGCTGCCTTCCCTCTAGTCTCTCACTTCAAAATGAGGGATGACTAGTGCAGAGTTGGTGGGTTGTGTTGTCTAGCTGCCTTCCCTCTTGTCTCTCACTTCAAAATGAGGGATGACTAGTGCAGATGGTTCTCAGGTAGGTTCACACCAAATCCAACAGACAATTTACCAGTATCATACTATTTAGTATAAAGAACATTAGATGCATTAGAACATTAGTAATATGTATATAAAAACATATAGATTGTGCTATTTACCAAAGTTTATTCACACATAAGTTAACAGTATGTGCAACAAAGATGTCTACTCTACATTACAGTGCAACTTTTCATAGTAAGTTTTGTTACTTTCACAAGGTAAAGTTCGAAAATGATCAGTTTGGGAATCAAAATTATCTCCCCTAGAAATACTGTTGTATGTACAGTGAAGAGACACTTGTACGTAGTTTAGTCAGTCAGAGAAGTTTTCAGGATTGAGTTAAGCTCAAGAATACAAGCATCATGAATATCATTATATCACTGTTACTAATATCCACATGTTTACAGAGAATGCTTAATTTTTCTTTCCATGTAGCTGATGCAGGAAATATATACTAAAAAAAAGTATTAAGCTGGCTTGTCATTAAATATTTCACATCTGCTACAACCATTTACATTTTTATATATGTGTTTGTTGGAATGAAATTTAAAATTTTCTTTTCCAGGATCAAAGATGGTAGAACATGTACTAAAATATGTTGAAAAGGATGGGAATTTTGACAGTATATTTCTGTGAGTATCTTTTCAATGGTGCAACTAAGCAATGTTTTAAGTGCATGACACATTTGTGGTTAATATTCAGATTGACTGGCTATAATAAAACTAGTAGGTGATGCTGGAAAATTGTAGATAGTAATGTATCCAGATGTATTGAAATCCTGAAAAAAATGGATGGAGCTGTGTCATATTTCAAAAGTACTTGACACTTCTGTTAAATAAATTATGAACTATTCAAGAAATATTACCACATGAATATTACTTTAAAACATTATAATTGTAGAAATAGAATTATATAAGTGCTAAAAAAACAACAAATGTGAAAAAAGGGGTTATGTAGCTGAATATAGGATATGTTTGAGTCTTTAAAACCTTAAAAATGCTTTAACTTGATACTGGTAAATTCAATAACTTGAAAATGAGTTTCATAAGTGCCTTTTAATTTTGTATTTCATAAATATTTTATGTTTATTTGACTTTTTTTGCACCTTCTGGAAAATTCCAAAATTTGCACAAGCCTGCATGATTCATGTAAACTATAATATCATCAGTAAAAGTTTACATGCATACAGTATTGTGTAAACTATAATGTCATCATTAAAGTTTACATGCATACAGTATTGTGTAAACTATAATATTATCAGTAAAAGTTTACATGCATACAGTATCGTGTAAACTATAATATCATCAGTAAAAGTTTACATGCATACAGTATCGTGTAAACTATAATATCATCAGTAAAAGTTTACATGCATACAGTACCGTGTAAACTATAATATCATCAGTAAAAGTTTACATGCATACAGTACCGTGTAAACTATATTCATGATCAGCCATGCTGCAAATGGTATTATAGGAATTTGACTATAGTGATGAGAATTATTTTAAATCAAATGTCTGTCTTTTGAGAGCTGGAACTATTAGACATTGTATATAACAATATTTAAACATGTTGATCTAATTTTATATAACACCCTTGTGAATAATGTCCTGTTGGTATAGTTATTGATGGAGTGTGTCTGTTGTGTCCTAATTTGTTTACTGACTTTGATGTTCAGTTATTAACAACATCATGATGTAGTAATAGTCCGAAATGTCAGCTTTAGAATGATGTAACTTCATTTAATGGGTGAAGAGTTTTAGAAGTTTGATTTTACAGGCAAGGAATGGGCATAAGTAATCAGGAACATAAGTGATTGACAGTGGGAAAGAAATAATATTTTATTGATAACATTAGTACTGCACTGGTTATCAGCTTGTCAAGTTAGTGGAAGTTGACCAATTGCTAATATGCAGTGTTTCAATTTAACCATTAAAATAAAGGGAATAGGTAATAGATTAAAAAGTAAATTACCACTTTTATAACAGTGTAACAAAGCTGGGATTAACTAGCATGGATTTAAGGCTAAGAAAAGCTAGTACACTACACAGTCTAGTTACATTTTGAGTTAATAAAATAGTTATAGTCTAAGTCAGTGCTGAGGCTAATAATCTAATTCAAATAACGAAACTTGAATATTTTCTTCTTTGTAAACAGTAGGCTGGATATTATATTTATGTCATAACTTTTCTTCTTTTATCAGACATAACATTCACAATTTGAGTTTTGTTTCTCGTAAGTTTGACTTTTAGTAGAATGTAGTTTGAGAAACAGAGAAATGTTTTCTCATTTTCAGTTTACAGCAGAGCAATTTCACTTGCTTTAATATATCATTTTCTTGGAGGTTAGTGAATACCCATTACATGTTAGCCACATTATCTCTTGTGATTGACACAAGATTGTCTACTGAAAGACTGTTTTTAAGAACAGTGCTAATGTTTTCTGCCATGTGATTAAAAGGTGTGTTTCGAAGATAGTAACTTTGAAGAGCTCACTCTGTGTTGTTTATTTGCTGGATGGATTTTCTTCATTGAGGTCAAAGTTTTCTCACTGTTATTGAATAAGGCATTATTATCAGTGTTGTTAGTAGTGTAATTAATGCTTGATTATAATCTGATGATGTATGTGGCTGTAATAGTGTTTTTCTATAGTCTCAAGTACTGTGTTATTATGTGATGGTGGTAATACTTTTCCACAATTCTAAGTTCAAGTATCTGAGAATATCACCAACAATAATCAAATTTTTTTAAGATAATAAGATAGCAGAATGTCATGGAAGAATATGTGCAAACAATCTGCTCTCCTTGGTTACCCAGTAACTTCTGCAGTAATGATAGCAGTTTCACAATATCCATCTTGTAGTAGGAATTTCTTCAGCTAATCTTGAGTCCTCATTATGCTGATCTTTATTCTTCTAATACCACGAATTTGAAGACCCTCTCTATAGCTTCTCGTCAAGAATACCAGATTGCTTTCGTGGAATAAAGTTGTGTCTTCCACTTTCACATATTTGTTTTCTTCCACACAGGTAATTAAGTGCAATCTTATGAGCCTCTTCTGTAGGCATGGATTCACTGTGGCTTACTCCGACACGTCATTTCACTATTCTGGTGTACAGAAAATATAATGGTGAGCTTTACTCGCCACCCAACCAGCGTCACAAGTTTCACTTAACATAATGTTTAGGGAAAACAAGGGACCTATTGGTCCATCCAAGGTGTCCCATCCTCTAGTAAATAAAAAAACAGCATCAAAGCCCAGCTCTTATCATTCATATACTTATCAAGCTTTCTCTTGAACTTGCTTAAATTTACTGCCTCTACAACATCTGAAGGTAACCCATTCCAAAGACCAACCACCCTGTTAGAAAAATGAAACTGTCTTAGCTGAAGATGATTCCTACCCTGTGTTCCCTAGTCCTACTATTCTCACACACCATTAAGTATAGAAAAAAGATGATACATTAACACTATCAATTCCCTTTACAGTCTTAATACCTTAATCAGATCTTCTCTAACTTC